TAGGGATTTCCTACTATTTAAACCCTCATTAGTACTAAAAATATCAAAGAGAATTATTCATGAGTAGTTTAATACATGCAGCAGCTGACAATAACAGGATTGATGCTGTCCAGTTGTTACTCAATGAAGGGGCTGGTATTGAGTCTATAGATCCTATAAAGAACCAGTCTACTTGAGACCCTACTGGACATCACTCTTTCAGGCAGATCTAGTCCAATTGTAGGCCTTTTTCTTCACTCCTGATGACCCCAACTCTAGCAAGGAACAAAAACCTGCCAACGCCTGCTCCAGCTATTCCTACACTCCTGACATTCTAATTAATGACCTTCTTGCATATGACTAGACATTGGTCTATGCATATGCAAAGAGATGGCAGAGCTGGAGGTACATAAAAGATCAGAAGATCTGCAAAAAGTAGAAGACGGTGGGCTAGGCATGTGTTGCATTAATTTGTATCTTTTATATATTATAACCTTCTAGACTTTTTAATCGCAGAAGAATATCAACAGAATTTCTAATCTGGAGATAAACAATATTGTGCTGAAAGAGAAAGAGACATTACAGGCAAGCCATCTGGCAAACAAGCAAGAGTCAATATTAAAATACCACAAGGTAAGTCTTGATAATGAGATGTCCCACACCATACTTACAGTTACAAGTAAGAAGAGGAGAGTCAAAAGTAAAGCAAAGAGGGAGAAAAAGAAACAAAGAAAAATAATTCTACAACAAATGGAGGATTTCTTTGAGTGCTCACTTGTAAATTTTGTAAGTTAAAATCCTAGATTATGTACGTTAGTTCATCCCATTAACCTTATTAAAATGGCTCCAGAAACATCTCCAATCATTACTATTTTTAGCTATGCAACATTATTTATTGAACAGATGAACCAATTGTATCCCCCAAAATACTGAAAGTACGTTATTATAGATTATCATAGTTTATTACCCCCAGACTGTTACACTTTATTTAATCAGTATATCTCAGTTGTTACCAATTATGACGTATTTGCATGCTCAGCTATCCAGCTTTATTATAAATGCACAACCAACCACTTACCTAAAAACAGCGCTTGTCAACTCTAGAAAGACCATTACCACAAAAGCAGGAATGTTGCTGCAAAGCCTCAATAAGCTTGCAAAACTTGGAAGGAAAGTTAATGATTGGAAATTCCTTATTTTCAAGCCTATAAAGTTGCATTTCCAACATTAGGTGCTAGAGTTATTATTATTATTGTTACTACCTTTTTCCTTTCCTTCCTTATTCCATTACTCATGTTGTTCTATTGATAAAATTAATTACCTATAATTTCCTACCAGTTTAAAGTTACAATTTAACTTGTCCAAAGAAAACAAAGATTCCATTAATGAGATTTGGAGAAATTACATCATATGTTAATTTTCACTATAAGAATGGAATTACAGATCATTAATCAAGACATGAAAACCATCAATTAGGAAGAAGTATCAATAAAGAACTGCAGGGTTTTTATTTTATAAATTATTTTAGGCTCTTGTAGGTTCAGTTCTCTTGAAGTGATTGTTCAAAATGAAAAATTTCCGAAGGAAATGATGAGCATCCATAAAACAAACATGCATTTGGTCACAGTAATGAGCATAGAAAGTCACACAACAAGAAGCTTGCTAGCATTGAGATACCTATCTGGTAAAGGGAAGCATCTAATTACCGCATACTGGGATATTTTTGCATCGCTAAATTTTCGCGAATTTTGCATTTGTAAGATTTCACGAAATAATATTTTTGCAAATAGCCTGTAAACACCCCCACGTGGCAATGGAAATTTAGAATTTCGCGATTTTTATTTTCGCGACGGAGCAAAAAATGCGAAATTCGTGAAAATTTGGCTACTTGAAAATTTCCCAGTATACGGTACTCTTGACTGAGATGGCCTCAACATCACAATCTAAAAAAACACAGGTGATTACCATGATAAATTACTGGGAAACACTTTATGCTGGGTTTACCAGCAGCAGCTCATTCCATCCCAAATTATAAAAGGGGCAGGAAGGTGTGGCTCAAATATTTAGTTCAAAGTCATGCACCAAATGCTGATGTCAAAATGAGAAATGGAAGTCCCTTATCTGTTTCACAATGTGAGACAAGGCAAGCATAGTGACATTGAAAGTATTCCATAGAACTACAAACCAGGAGTGGCTTGAAGCTAACTTCATTGCACCCAAATGTTCCCCCAATAGTTTTACTGTCATAAAGATAGCAAATTGTAAAAAAAATTCTTCTCCCCATATGGAGCGGAGCGCACAAGAAAAACCAGCAGCTGGTAGAATTCACAGGTTTAAGAGATGATGACTAGTAATGAATAATAGAAGTTATTTCTTCTTTCATCGTTCGGGAAGAGTGCAAGCAGCAGCTACTTTCTGGCAAAGGAAGAAACCTTACTCAAGAGCTTCTATTGCAACAATAATTCTTGAAACCAGATAAGAACTTGAAGTAGAATTTACATCATTCCTTTGCACTTTTGTAAAGGACCACAAATGTGAATTTATAAACAAGAAAAGACAAGGCACAAATATAAAACCAGGAGACAACACATGGCTTTGTAGTGCCATGTATACAAGGAAAGTACGTACCACCTCATCATTGTAGCCAGGTGATACTAGTTGTACATATACACGTAGAGGTAAGTGCCACATAAGTGGTTTTTTTCGAGAGAATTAATATTTTGCAAAATCTACTAAAATTCCAATTTGTGAATTGTAATTTCACAAATTCTACCACGTGTGCCATGCGGTGCCATATTAAATTGATTTTCATGGATTTAATTTTCATGAATCAGGAAGGATTCTGCGAAATTTGCAACTCTAAAAAACCATTAATACAGTAATATATTTTATTGATAGGGTACATTGTATAATATGTCACAACACATGCCATGATAAGTAATGTACATATACACATGTAATTGATAATGTACTGTACTACATGTAGAAAAGTGCATGTACATATACAATGAACAATGTACATGTACAATGTATAGCAATGTACATGTACAGTACTAAACTACAGAGACTCATGCGCATGCTCAGCTCACGCATGGTTTAGCTCGTGCATGCTCCTAGTAATAATAATGATGTAGAGGCTTCAATATAGATGGTAGCATGAAACACTTCTGTCTTCACTGTCTTAATTCAAAAAATGGCATTACCAAAAAGTTAGGCACCTACTCTTTGGTGTAATTTGAGGATGAGGGCACAGCAGTTGTGAAAACGTGGATTCATTCATCAGCTAAAAACAGTTACTTGTACTGCTGATAAAATGAAGTATCAATGTACCATACTTTATACAAATGAATCATCAGTCGTTGAACAGGAGAAGTACATGCAAGTATTGGTTTAGGAGACAACAGAAGTGAGTACTGGTTTTGAGATGATAGTGACTGCTGCTGAACAGGAGAAGCTACTGATTTTAAAAGATAGTGACTGTTGTTGAACTGTAGTTGAAATACATGAGACTCACTGGGAATCTTGATTGAAAAGAAGAATTAAGTTTTAAATGATTGATAATGCTGACAATGGTGACTCTGCAGAGCAAACCACAAGCTTTATCACTACTGAAAGGTTAAGGTTCCCAAGAAAAAGTCCCAAAGAATATTAATTGTGTGATTAAAATTAGAGTGTCAGTGTCAAAAAGATGTAGATTTACATAGATATGGCAAAGAGGGCTTGACAGCTTAAAAGTAAACTACGGGTATAACTATTAAAGCGAAACTATAGATTATAAAAATATATGACACACACACACACAGATGTTTCAAGAACATTTATAATAATAATCAAATGATTTTGACATTGTAAAAATTATTAGTTAATACATGTGCATGTACAATGTAGTACAGCAGCAACATGTAATTGCTCATTAGTATCCTAAAGCTGCTTCATTTATGAAAATAGCCTCTCCTATGAGTTAGGCCTACATGTGTAGTTACTCTTTATTCCAGCTTCCATCCAAGCTTCTCACTGTTCTTGGACAAACAGATAAAGTTGGCCACTTCTCCCACAGTTTATTCCTAATAATCTACTGTTATCTCATCATTCTCCTCTATACACTTGTTCACAAACTGTAGCTCCTCTTAATCCAGTTTACGTGCCTTAACTTCTTTATCTAGAAGGTCTCATAAATTAAAAATAGGATATCTTTCAAGAAGTCACTTATAAACTGATAAAACTAAAAAGAATTATTCTTCTTCTAGTTTCTAAGAATATCTAAGATGTTCTCCGCCATATGACTGTACACCATAAAGAATGTGACACGCGTACCCCGTAAGGAAACACACATGATAATTTATTGAACTCGTGGTCAATGAACGAGCATGAGCATACAAAGTAGCATGCATCTATTTTATTTTCACGCTTACAATAAACGAGTTATGCAAATGCTTGTACTGTACGTTTAATTATCTAACCACAGCTGTACATGTATAAAACACTACAAAATATTGTAATAGTAATTGTGATCACGCTGGTCAAATGGTAGACTAACGCATTAGAAAGCATTAAAAAGAAAAAGGCATTAAAAGGGGAAAGTGGCCAACACTTTCCAAGCTTTTAGGAAAAATAACATTTGAAAGCCACTGATGATTCACCACCTAAAGTGAGAAAAGGCTCTGTTTGCTCCAGCTAACTGATGTAAGGCTCACTCATGATACTCCTCCATAAAAATGTATCATCTCATTTCTTGATAAAACATCATATGAAAAAAGGCAGTACTCTCTAGGCAGTAATTATAAAAAGTATGAAAAGGGCGACACTAAAAATGCCAAGCATTAACCTCGTCATGTAACGATCAAAACACAAATTTAATCCCCTCAAAAATTAATTAATTCCCTCTAAATTAAAATGAAAGACCCTTTCACAAAATTTTGTACCCACAAAATGACCCATTACGGTAAATTTGTACAGTGATCATACCTTTCTGATTTCTCTCCTTTGTCATTAATAACTGTTTTACAACTGTTTGGATTAGAATCAGCAAAACTCTCATCTCTTCCTCCTAAAAGCCATTTCTTGGACTTGAGCTCAATCAGCTTACGCATAGTATCGGAACTAATCGATCCATTTAAATGAGCGTGTAGTTCCTATTACCATTGATAAGGTTAATACAGAAGTACAGCTTAACTCACAACTTTAGGTAAAAGCTGACAGAACTCTAGTCTTGCCCCACCCCTAACAAAACTCCAACATAGACATGATTCCATGCATGACCAACCTGCCACATGGGTGACACGATAAGTACTACAATCATACAATGGCTAAAAGCTTTCCTTACTCATAGATACAAGCTCTCGTACAAGCTACGTTTGTACATGAACAAGCTGTCCTTACTTACAGTCCAGTGTGTAGGATCCTGACTCCTTATCAATGAAATAATCTGGAAGGGAAGAGGTGATTGTTTGATGATATTCTACTCAGAGATGAGGAGAGGTTTTCTCTCGGGTTTTCCACAAGTACCTTGACAAGAAACCCACGGTACCACGTGTCTACTCCGTATATTGTCATATAATCTACTAGAGACTACGGCGTATACTGAGCCACACCATAGTTACACGGATTATATATTCCGTGTATAATATCTATGGCCACACCTAGCTAGACTAACTATACTAGATCTATATCTAATCTTGACTACATGTTGCGTGGGCGTACAATTGACATACATCGCATCTCTACAAGAAATGGCTACAAGTACAAGCCCTAGTTCTTCCTCTGCTCATTTTATAAACGTTTGCAATAAAGAACTAAGTGAGTTTGTGGGTATATTTGACATTTAATGATATTTTGCGCAGATATCAATGACTTTTATGATATTTATGAGAAAATTGAGCAACTTTCGGCTTCCTGGAAGCAAATTGCCATTTCCTTGCGTCTCAGAATAAACACAGTTAACAAGATAGAAGCTGATTGTCGTGGAAACACTGTCACTTGCCTGCAGAAAGTTTTGGAGTATTGGTTAAGGAAAGATTATGATTACAAGCGTTATGGTATTCCTTGTTGGAGGAGAGTGTGTGTAGCTGTTAAAGAAGGAGGAGGTGATCCAGCATTAGCTGATGAAATAGTTCGTGAACATCCTCTACCAGCTATGCCACCTGCAGGATCAACTAGTTCAAAAGGTACTTATATTGGCACATATATTAGTTGAATGTTGTTGACATCAATTGTATCTTGGATAAAACATGATGTATAAGGATAGGTTGTGTTAGGTAGCCAAGCTATTTCCTTTTTGGTATTAATCCAATTGCTGCCATAAGTTAAAAATAATACATGAATTCATTATGTACAAAATCTACAATTTCCAGTCTCAGATGTATATGTCATTTTAATTTGTCCCAATTTAATGCTCATGTGATTTTCCCCTTAATACTAATAATACAGTATAGTTCAGTAGTCCTGATATTACGTTCATCAAAATGCAATTTTTTGTAAACTGAATAAGTTTCAATTACTTGTTTGTAATAACAAATTCCATAATTGTAAATGTTTTGATGACATGCACAGCTGTTTGAAAATAAATCTATTTTGTTACATTTTCAATTTTTATCAGATAAAAGTGTCACTCCTGAAACAGATGAGGTAGCTATGTCACCAGCAAGCACTGACAGAGCAACAGGTAATTAATCATTCTATCCTTCATTGTGATAGAAGATAGAAAAAAATGCAACCTAGCATTTCCTCTCATTCATTTCACAACATTTATGTGCTAGTGTAGGTTGAAATTATCTCCTCTTTGGTATTGAGCCAATTGCTTGCATTGTGGATGTCTAGTTTCCGGGCCAGCCCCTTCCATTGGCCCTGAGACTAAGTGGAAGTCGCACTGATATAGTCCAATGCAATGCATTAATGGGCGAGCTTGAGTCTGTCGCGGTATTGCACTGACTCTGCTGCTAGCTAGGCTGCTTTTCTAGTTAAATCTTGAGTCTGAATGCAATCATAGCCCTCTGAGCTTGAAGAAGAGCCTCTTTTTCATTCCAGCTAGATTGTTGAGGTTGATCTCAAGCTTCTTTTCTGCTTCATACATGCACATGTGTTTTTACAATATTTCATTAGAATGATGCTACAGCATTAGATCATTGACAGATAAATAGATAGTGCACAAATGGGGCATGACCAGAAGATGTGTGTGACTGAAGACGCACGTACATACATACATGCGTACATACATACAGAAGACTCCTGCTACAGTGGGGCTCACCCAAGCTCACCCAAATTAAGCAATGAATATCATTACATACAAATTCCAGTCTCACTAGTGAATCTCATTTGAATTTGATTCAATTTTTCGCTGACATGCTTTGTCTCTTAGCTGCATGTATAGCATGAAAATTTGATTATGAAAGTCCTAAATTAAATTTCTCACAAATAAATTTGCTAGCATATTGTCTCATATCATCTCATATACTAAACCCACACATTGTTTGACTATTTGAAAATAACCCACAGTCAGTACTTTTGCTATTTTGATAATATTTTTTTATTTTTTAGAAAGAAGTGTCACTCTAGAAACAGACGAGGTAGCTATGTCACCAGCAAGCACTGACAGAACAGTAGGTAATAATAATATTGCCTCCTTTTACTGTGTAAATCAATTAAATTACTAATCATCTAATAATGCAAACTATTTATTATTTTAGGTACCTCCAAATATGGTTCTTCAGAAAAGAGCTTTGAATTAACTAGCAAGTTATATGATCTACAAGATGAGTTTGATGAGGCCATTCGACTAACAAAGAATTCTTTCAAATCAAGTGATGTACCTAAAATCATTGACTACCTCAATATACACACAATGTCATTACTTGGTCCTAACAAAAAACAGCAAACAACTGCTGAAGCAGTTAGAGAAGAGTTTAGAAATATCCGAACATTATCAAAATTATTCACCATATTACAAGACAAATACATATCCTGGTTCAACTATAAACTAATGATAAAACTTGTTGGAGTATTTCTACCCAAAAATCGTTCATTAAAGAGGACTTGGTCATCATATGAAGAGAAGTTGAAGGATTATTTTATAAACAGTGGTGGACTATTGAAAGATGCTGATCCTGTACAGTTTGGTGTAAAAGGTGTTCCTCCTGGTACACGAGTAATGATTGCTAAAGTTGACAGAGATGACTACACACTGGATGACATATTCTTCTTTCGTAGAGCAATACCAAAAGGCTTGGATATTCCTGAATATGATCTTCACTTCTGTTTTGTCTACGATGGTTCTCTCTGTTTAGGTTACCTCATTTCTGAATATCTTTATTCTTTATTATTTCCTCTAACTACAAAGCTACAGCAACAATTAGCTAATATTGGCATCACTGAACTAACATGTGGTGAAGATAAATATGATCTAAGAGAGGTTTGTTCTTATAATTGTGTAAATAATTGGGGCGAGCCTGAGAGAGCCCCACTAAAGGCAAATTTGCAATATTACGCTAGTCCAGAAGTTGACTAGCATGGACAGAAGTTGACGGTACGTTAGCCTAGCGTCATATGGTAAATCCACCTTAAGGCTAGAAAGCATCTGTATGTATGTATGTATGTACGGGCATAGGGTCGTCTAACTATTATTAAAGTTAAATAGCCTAATCTACAAGATAAGACTAAACTGCTGTCCAAAGACTTCTCTAGCAGCAAGGAAGGTCAGGAAAGCAGATTTTTTTTTCATTTTTGACAAAGGACTCTGTTGAGATGAATGCAATGAGAAACTGCAGTTTATTTTCTAGCAGCAATGAGCAGCAATTAAGATCCGGCAAGAAGGGCTATCTTCTTCACAATAATTTTGTTTTGTTCAGTGACTGCTTCTAACTATCTTCAATTCTATAATTGCTGCAGACATTCTAAAGTGATGAAGTGATTGAAAAAATTACATTTTTAAGCAAGATGCCTAGACCTACATACATGTATATACTGTATTTACGCATGTACAATAGTAGTATCATGCAGTACAATGAATACATATATGTAGGCTTCCTTTGGCTCGCCCCTTTGATGTTTTACATTCGTCTAGTATTATTTTTAATTTTACAGTTCTCAATAGAAGAGGTTAAGCACTCATCCACTGATATTGGTAAGTACATGAACAGCATGACCTTTTACTCCACCCATGCATAACTTACCAATTCATTTATAGATACATGTGATCCATTATTGTATGAGAATACCAGTACACCATTACATGAAGCAGCTTGGAGAGGATTAAAAGATGAAGTACAATGGCTTCTTGATAAGTTTGGTTACAGCACATATCATCGTGGTCTTCATGGTTGGACTCCATTACACTCTGCATCATATGGTGGGCACATTGAGATCCTTCAACTACTCATCCATCAAAATGGTATTGATCCTAATGAAGGTGATGATAATAGTGTATCTAGTATACATATGGCATCTTATAAAGGCCACTTATCTATAGTACAATATCTAGTAGACACGTGTGACGTTCCTCCTGATCAACCAGACAATAGCAATAACACTGCATTACTGTACTCAGCAATGGGGGGCCATTCTGACCTAGTGGAATTCTTTATTAAGAGAAATTGTACTACTTCTCAGATTAATTGTATTAGGGCCTCTTTATCATTGTTAGCTTGTCAAAGTGGAGAGTTAGCATTAGTCCACAAGCTTGAATCATTAAACCTCTTCTCACCAAATGACATAACAAAGTCAGGGACTGGTATACTACATTATACTTGTTATTCTAAAAGTGTTGAGCTTTTTAAGTATCTTTTAAATCAATATCAATTATCCATTGATGTAAAAATTAGGAATGGAGTGACTCCACTTCATATTGCTTCATGGTATGCTTCATCATCACTTGTTGAGTATATTGTTAGTATTCAAGGTAATGAAGTATTATTAATTAATGATAATAATGGCAACTCATGTTTACATCATGCATGTTATGCAATTATACATATTTCAGCTGGTATTGTGTATAGTAAGCTTATGGCACAAAGTGATGTATCAGATATTCAGATTATTAATAGAACTAGAGTAAAAACAAATATTAATTTAATCAAACGAAATGAAAGAGTTAAAATGTTTTCTTCACTTCTCAAGAAAGCTAACACTTGCCCTAACTGTGATATCAATGCCACTACAATTGATGGTCAGTCATTACTTCATTGGGCATCACATAGTGGCAGTACCTTACTAGTGAAAGCATTAGAAGAATGTAATATCAATTGTACATTAACTAATGATGGTAAGTCTCCAGTACATTATGCTGCCTGGTCAGGTTCTACTAGTGTACTAAGTTATATCATATCTCAGTATAATCTCAATGCTAATGATACTGACACTTATGGTCGTACACCATTAGTATACTCTTGCTGGTCAGGTAGTATTAATTCTGTTAAATATCTTATTAATAATCATAACATTGATCCAAATATCACTGATAATGATTGTATGACATGTCTTCATCATTCTTGTCGTAATGGTCATATTGATATCACTCAATATCTTATTGAGGTACAGCATTGTGATATTAATAAAACAGATAATGAAGGACACACGTTAGTACATCATGCTGCATGGAGTGGTAACTTTGATTTAGTTCAATATCTTATTACTGAACAAGGTTTGTCTCCTACTGCAGTTACTAAGAATGGCCTCACTGCTTTACATTATGCCTCAGTGTCTCTTAACTTATCTCTTGTTAAAGAATTAATAACTACCTATCAGTTAGATCCTCATCAAGCTGACAGTAATTGTAAGCTACCAATTCATTATGCTGCTGAATCTGGTGATATTTTACTACTGGAATTATACATGAAGGATTACAAGTGTAGTCTGAGCCTAACAGATAACAAAGGTTGGAATGTTATTCATTTTTCATCAGTAAAAGGTCACACTCACTTTATCAAGCATATCACCAGTCAGTATCTTCAATATATTAGTTTACTACACTCTACTGACAATGAGGGTAGGATACCATTGCATTTAGCCTGTGAGAGTGGTAATATTCAATTGGTCACATTTCTAATAAATGATATGGAATGTGATGTCAATGCTAAGAATACACGTGACAGTTCAAGTATCAGCTTTGCATGTTGCTCAGGCAATCTTGATCTAGTACAATTATTAATACAACAGTATAAGCTTGAGCCTTTAGCTACTAATAAATATGGTTTCACAGCATTACATGCAGCAGCTCAAGCTGGTCATACTCATGTACTGAAATGGTACAGTCAGGAGTATAGTGTGAATATTACTAATCACACTAGCAATAACAAGTACACACTGGCTCATTCAGCTGCTTATTTCGGTGAGCTACATTGTCTACAGGAACTGATCAACAAGTATCAGTGTGATGTTAATGCCACCACTACTGATACTGGTAGTACAGTTCTTCATGAAGCATGTGAAGGAGGTCATGTTCCTGTTGTACTTTATCTCACTAGTCTTCCTCAGTGTAATGTAGCAGCTAAGACTTCTAATGGATCAACAGTTCTTCACATTACCTGTGAGCACAGTGGCTCTCTTCCTATACTCAAACATTTGGTAGAGAATCATCAGTTAGATCTGTGTGCTGTGAATGATGAGGGAATGGCTCCTATTCACTTAACATGTTTAAAAGGAAGATGGATTTTGGTCCAATACATTTTAGAACGGTTATCATCACCAAATCAAATTCAATTGATTGGCAACATTCTCAGGCAAAAAAACAATGATGGTAGGACACCATTTCATTTAGCCTGTGAGAGTGGTAATATTCAATTGGTCACATTTCTAATAAATGATATGAAATGTGATGTCAATGCTAAGGATACACATGACAACACATGTATATTGTTTGCCTGTTTCTCAGGCAATCTTGATCTGGTACAATTACTAGTACAACAGTATAAGCTTGAGCCTTTAGCTACTGATAGATATGGTTTAACAGCATTACATGGAGCAGCACAGGCTGGTCATACTCATATACTGGAATGGTACAGTCAGGAGTATAGTGTGGATATTACTAATCACACTAGCAATAACAAGTACACACTAGCTCATTCAGCTGCTTATGGAGGTAAGCTACATTGTCTACAGGAACTGATCAACAAGTATCAGTGTGATGTTAATGCCACTACTACTGATACAGGTAGTACAGTTCTTCATGAAGCATGTGAAGGAGGTCATGTTCCTGTTGTACTTTATCTCACTAGTCTCCCTCAGTGTAATGTAGCAGCTAAGACTTCTAATGGATCAACAGTTCTTCACATTACCTGTGAGCACAGTGACTCTCTTCCTATACTCAAACATCTGGTAGAGAATTATCAGTTAGATCTGTGTGCTGTGAATGATGGGGGAATGGCTCCTATTCACTTAGCATGTTCAGAAGGAAGACAGGATTTGGTCCAGTACATTACAGAACACTTACCGTCATCACTTGAACTACCTGTCACAGGATCTGGTCACACTCCATTCCTTATTGCAGTGTACTTCAATCAGTTAGAAGTTATGAAATATCTTATTAGTAATAAGTGTAATCTATCAGCTACTGATGATGAAGGGTCTGGAGCAGTTCACATATCAGTAGAGAGGGGTCACTTGAATGTATTGAAGTATCTCATTGATAATAATTATTGTAATCCTAATGCAACCAATCATCAAGACCGTACGCCACTACATGTTGCTGTAGCAGCTGAACAGTTTCAAATTTTGGAATGTTTTTTAGAAATTAGACCAAGCTTACCTAATAGTGCACAAGATAAAAATGGTAACACACCATTGCACTTTGCTTGTATGAGAGGACAACAGAAGATGGTATCACTTCTAACCAGCTCTACTGATATCAGTATATTAATTACTAACAAGAAAGGACAGACACCATTACACTTAGCTGCTGCCTCTGGTCATAAGGATACCGCTGAAGCTTTACTGTTCTCAGTCACTGGTAGTTCTACTCATCGTGATCTCCTTACAGCTACTGATAATGAAGGATCCACTGTATTACATACAGCTTGCAGTAATGGCCATATTGACACATTTCTTCACTTCTGTAGTATTTATCCTGATGGTATTAATGCTGTGGATAATAGAAAGCGCACTATACTTCATGCAGCATGTGAGGGTGGGAATATGGAAATAGTACAACTTGTAATTGACAACTGTGGACTAGACCCTGTAGCAAAAGATAAGGATGGCATTACTTGCATGCACATATTGGCAGAAAGAGGCAATATTACAATATTTCAGTATATAAAAGATCAAGTAGGTTCTAACTACATCCCTTGTGATGATAATGGTCGTACTCCTCTTCATTATGCATGTCTCTTCAATCGTAATGAGATGACACTGTATCTCATTAATAGTTGTCATTATAATCCTGATGATCCTGATAATAATGGATACACTTCAGTTCATGCAGCATGTGAAGCTGGTAACTTTGACTTAATTCTACAATTTCTCACGGAGCTTTGCTGTAATGCACTAGCTGAAACTCATGACACGAAAACTCTTCTTTATTTTGCTAGTAAGAGCTCTAATTTAGAGCTTGTTCGATTTTTAGTTAATGTATTTGATTTAAAACCTCGTCCACACGATATTAAAATTGCTCAATCAGTTAATCCTGATTCCTCAGTAGTTAAATATCTTCAAGAGATCCATTATGATTTATTTTATACAGAAGAAGGCATAGTGAGAGGATATCATGAAAAACTTGAAGGACAACAGGTTGACCTACCAGGACAAGATATTGTATCTTAAACACAACCTTATCACCATATTACCACCTTATCAGTCCATTGTATGTAACCTATCACCATATTACCAATACATCATCTTACTACAACACCATATGTAACCTATCACCATTACACCATCATACCTATCCTACCACCTTACCACCATCTAGCTACCTTACACCACTTTAGTACCATCATGACCATTACACCGTATACCCACAATGGTTACCAATATCAGCAATCCTATAAAATATAGTATCTTAAACACCATCTTACCCCTACACCTATCACCACCTTACCACCATCCCACCACCTTACATACCATTGTACCATTACACCATACACCAATTGCTACCAACATCACCTATACAATACTTGTGTAATATTTTAACTTGTATCACCAGTAATCTTAACACCTTTATACTAAGTTTGACATTTAACCACCATTGCCATCTTATCATTACCATGCATGTACAAAAGACATGCAATATATCCATTACCATTGTACTACCATATTACCATTGTAACTGTGACCACCTTACCAGTTATCACCATTACACCATATACCCACATGTACACCCCAATGGTTACCAATATCACCAATCCTACTTATTTAATATATTCTCCATTAACACGTATCACTAGAGCTCCTCTTTGCTTTCTTTTGTTATAGTCTTCCCTTTCTTCCTTAATTAATAAATTGTTTTATTATAGCATGTACACATGTACCTTTATTTTGTACTTACACTTAATTTGCTATAATTATAATTATAATATTATTGTTGTTATATTTTGACATACTTTTATTATGAAGCAATAGCATTGAGTTTTCTATTTGAAGTTTTAATAAATTTTTAATATATTTTATAAAATCAAAATTAAATAAGTCAACAATTTTATTCCAGTTCTCCTGCCACAGTGGACTTGAAGTGATTATATCTGGACATTCAAGAACTGCTTGAATTTGATGTGATCCTCCACTGGTCAGTGCAGCTCCAAAATTAGCAAGATGTGTAGGATCATCTATAACTCTTTTACCAGCCTCAATGATCTGAGCCAATGACTCTCTGTGGGACAAGAGGATCATGTAATAAAAATGTACTATAGCCCATGGTTTTTCCAAATAATGGCTTCAAAATCACTTCAAATTTTAATTACATTTTCTGATACATACTGATGTACTAATGCTATGTAGAAAGTTGGAGCCAATTCCAGGGTTAAATTTTCGAGTTAGGGCCATTTAAAAAATGAGCAAATTTTAGAAACTTTCCCTGTGCTATAGCCCATGGTTTTTCAAAAAATCATTAATTCCAACAAAAGAAAAGACTATAAAACATATATTGCATACATTACACAGTGATACAAATGTCATTTTACTGTACTATCATACATGTAAATGTTGTGAATAAGGTAGAAGTACATGTACATACCTTTCGAGTGAGTGACAGTTCCCCAGTCATAGCAACATTCTGAAGTATTGGACGATCCATAGCCAGTGAAAGGAGGGCAGAGACTATAGTGACACATGCTGACAGTGCTGAGGGACCGTCCTTTGGGAAGCACCCTTTAATTAATATAATAATAATAATAACTAAATTGATAAAAATAAATAATAATATTTATTGCCGTTATCATTGATGTTGATAATAATAATAAATTAACAGTATTAATTACATGTACCTCAGGAACGTGGAGATGAATTTTTGCTTTGTCAAGGAAATCATTTGTAGGATCTTTTGAAGACAAAAATGACTAAAATAATACACAACATAATCGTGCCTTCTATTTCTATCTCTCTCTCTACCTTAGCAAAAGTACATGTATAAGCAATATTAGTGGACTCCTTCATTACATCTCCTAACTGTCTAGTGGTAGTCATACCCCACCTCCTCTCCCCTCCTTTGACAGGCCCCGCCCTTTAGCCATGCCTGCCTCCACATAAAGAGTAGTGCCTCCCATTGACGTCCAAGCCAGACCCATAATCACTCCAGGGGGTGTGGTCTCGTAGAGGTGATCGGAAATAAACAGAGGATGACCGACAAATTCCTTTAAATTTTATAGAGGAAGGGACAGAGACAGGAGGAACAGGAGGGGGAGAAGGTTTCTCTTCTTCTTTTGTTTCTTCTTTCTTTTCATCTTGTTCAGTTTCATCATCATTAGTCTGTGTCTGTGATAAAACTTTAAAAGTATAGTCGGTTTCAGTTGAGCTTGCCCTTGTAAAAAATCCCAGCAAGATCTTATAAGGTTTTTTATGATTTCACATGATTATACAAGAAAAAATAAGATAGTAATCTTGTAAAATCTTAACACAGAAATTCTTGCAAATTCTTATTTAAGATTTGATAAAATTTGAACAAGCTGTCAGATCTTGTGAGATCTATCATAACTATGATTCTTGTAAGAATTTTAAAGATCTTATGAATAAAGGAATATGTCAGAAAATGTAAGATCATGCCTCACTTAAATCTTGTAATATCACACCTTGTAAGAACTAAGATGATCTTTTTAAATTGAAATCTAATAAGATCTTACAAAATCTAGTAAGTTTATTATCTTGAAGAATCATCCATGATCACACGACACATAAGATCACTCATTCAGTCATAAAAGATCTTGAAAGATCTTACAAATTGCATGACGTCACAGGAAGTGGTAGACAACCCACGATAGCCTTTACGATAATGGCAGTATATAAAGAAAGTAAAATTTCAACATAATTAAGTCAGAAAGTTAATGAAGTTCACATTAACCTTCACATCATTAAGTAATTCATGTAAGATCTTGCTCAGGTCTTACTGTTACATCTATTTTTCATAAGCTGAAACTTCATGTAAGAACTCAGCTAATATTTTAAAATCTTGATAAAGCAAGATCCCATGATATCTTTCATGTTCTTTGTTTCAAAATCAGGTAAGATCTTGCTGTGATCTTAAGGTAAGATCTTACTGTGATCTTCTAAGAATTTGGTAAGATCTTGAGAAAGATCCTGTAAGATCTTGCTTACATTTTGATAGCAAGATCTAACGCTATCTTACATAATCCTTGTTTCAAAATCAGGTAAAATCTTGTGAAATATTAGCAAGAATCTTATTAAGAATTTTAAAGAAACTTAACAAGAATCTTGCTGGGATTTTTCACAAGGGTGACCACTGACCCACCCTTATCTGGGATTTTTCACAAGGGTGACCACTGACCCACCCTTATAACTTCTCTATTATTTATGCTAGCAACTTGAAACTTGATATAGTTGCAAAACAGGTTCTTCCGAAAATCTGTACCAATTTTGGAGTCTCTAGGTACTCTGGAAGGTTCTCAAAAGGTTCTTCTGGTCAACATCAAAGGGAGCCGCCATGATGTTTCATGATGTGAAGCTTCGTGAATATCATTCGCATCTCATTAAATATGTCAATAATCATGTTTTTATTATTTAAAAATCAAATAAAGCAAAAGGAGCACTCCAGGCCAAGATATAATTGAACAAGAAGACTTTGCACTCCAGAAAGAAGTCTCACTCAGTCTGCTGTACCTCTCTAAGCCTTTGTTATTTGTCTTCACCATTGCCGCTCAGAAACTCCGTTGAAATTTTGCATCTCTCGATTCTTTCTTCAAGTAATAGCAAGCACAAAGATCCTTCATGTCAATTGCAGGGCTAGCAGTGACCAAAATAGGGTAATAAACAAGTTACAACAAGAAGAAAGGAGCATGATGAAATTTTCAGCCATTCTATTTGCGTGTGGGTGGGGCTGCACGTGACGTTTTGATGATGAAAACATTTCCCTCCCAAGTAGGGTTGAGCCTATTATTCTCATTAATTTTCCCATTATTCTTTCTGGAAATTCTCAATGATTTCCCCCATTTTATCCTATTATTCTCAATTTATTCTCAATAAATTTCTCAAACAATCAATTTTCACCCAAGAATTGCATTCCAGCAGTGTTTTAAAAATAGGTCTTTCAAAAAAAAACACTAGCCAAAAATTTTTAAATTTTCTTCTGAAATCACCATTGACCTCAACTCCACCCATTATTCCACTATTATTCCTATTTCCATCCAATTATTCCAGCATTATGCCTCATATGAGGAAGCCCCTATTATTCCTAAAATTATGCTGGAATAATAGGCTCATCCCTACTCCCAAGTCTGCTAAAGATGTCTCTAACGCTCTTTTCTCCCATCTTTTATCTATCCCCTGTCCTAATTCTACTCCACTCTTTATTGTAGGTGATTTCAACTTTCCCGAAATAGACTGGTCCTCTTATACAGGCTCTACTATTCCATCTGCATCCTTTTGTCGCTCTCTGTTTATTCACAACTTGTCTCAGCTCATTGATGCTCCCACCCACAAGTGTGGTAACATTCTTGATCTCCTTCTAACTAATTCCCCAGACTATATCTCAAATATAAATATCAATAATTGTCATGACCTCTCCGACCACTTCCCAGTGCTCTTCAATATTACTATCTCTTATGTCTCTTACCAGTCAAAATCCAAAGAGGTCTACAACTACTCTAAAGTGGACACTGATGGCCTTTCCTCTTATCTCTATTCCTTGGACCATACAGCTACCTTCTTACCCTGTGATGTTGACTCAGCATGGTCTAGTTTTAAGCACTGTGTGTCTTCTGCTAGGGAGCTTTTTGTCCCCCTGGCCACGATTCCTAGCTCATCCTTACCCAAGTGGTTTGACAGCGAATTGAGACATGAGCTTAATAGAGTACGATCCTCGAGGAGGCGATTCCTCCAGAAGGGCTCTCCCTCTGATCTTCAATTGCAGAAACTGTGAGTCTAGAA